ACTTAATAAGTCCTGAAGAGATGATAGGCATAAGTTTATTTCAGCCTCGGCTTTTCGTAAGTCTGCGTCTCTTAATGTTGCCTCACTTTTAATTCATTTGAACTCATAAATATTGGTATAAAGGGCCACCGAGTACATACACACAAGTCACTTGATTTATGTGTGAGCTATGCTATTGCCCGGGTGCCCAAACCGAAGCAGGTGGTTTCCTTGGAGGGCCACACCCGGAGCCTTCAACCTAAAGGTCTGATCCACAAGACAGTGAAGCAAAGTCAGGAAATGCAGTCTCACGGTAACTGGTGACCAACGATTGGTTCATATACCATTTGTTCCTTCAGGATTCTGGAGCCCATGTGCACCACTGGTTTGGAATCAGGGTTTTCCAACTCCCCTAGGTGGATTATCTGTGTCCACCAGCCCGGTTAAGGCGCCGGACACTCTCTTTTCGTCCTCTCAATTTCGTAAACAACACCCCCGTCACGAGAAGGCAGTGAGTAGAACTTCCGTGGCAGTAGTTGTATGCACGTGGCCATGTGAGAGCATTTAAAGAAGGGAGCAGACTCTCCCCACCCTCGGCCGTAACAGAGCATTTCGGGGTCTCACTGCCTTGCATATTTTTCTACTTTTAGATCGTAAGCTCGGGGAGTAGTTTCATAAGAGAACTGCCTACTCTTACCTCACTTTCCGGACCAACCTCATGCGTATAATATTAAGCCATTATTAGCCCAGTAGAGTTTACCGGTAAATCATACACCTTCTTTTGTATTTGAAGAAGCCACTTCTAATTAGTTCAATATTTTCATTATCGATTCGGTGGTTGTCCACTGATATATTTCGTTATTGTTAATTTGATATATGTTTTTAAGCTCTACATGAGTATGAAGTGCTCTTGTGTAACATAGATCTTCGTTGGAACGTGTTAAGTTTGTCTTCTTATTCAGTAAATAGTTAGTGTCAGTTAATGGTGCACTGTGTCTCATTTTTCCCCCAAAATAACCCTCTTATATACTTAAACTGTTTTTTGTTCATCTAACAGGGACTTGATTTTGACTGTCCTCTTACACGACGTTGCTTCAATTGTCACTCTTTGACTGGATTAGAGTTTAGCAAATTTCAGTTGGAATTATTAAAACAACCTTCAAATTGTAAGTACCGCTTAATATATTATATAGCAAGGTAAAAAATATTCGAAAATTATATTTTGTGCTATTGATTAGTGTTTATACGCTATGTAATTTTGTTTTTAAACAGTTTTTTGGGTTTTTAATACTTCCTCTTATTCCCTTTTCAGATAATCCTAGAACAAATTCGCCTAAATAAAACATGCGTTCCGCGATCTCGTAATAAAAAGGGACAGGAATGGGGGATAAGTTATAGATAATATTTTGGTAGTTAAAGTTGAAAACTGTAAATGAATGGTGATTAAGATTTCATTTGTTTGCTGTAGAGTTTAGAGATCCTGGCTTCTCATAATGCCAATAGTTTTCAGAAAAGAGAAAAGCAGTCGTTTCATCAGTTTCATGTGTTGTGATATTTGCTGAAAATTTTGAAAGTTATCAAGGTATTTAATCAACTGATACTTCGTCCATATCAGACTTATTTGTAAAGTCATCCAAGATGAGATAATATTTCGTTACGTTTTATAAAATTTGATAGATACACTGATCTTTTATCGAAGTTATAAACTCGTAAGACATAATATGTATCATCAATTAGAGAAAGTCCTTCATTTGACTGTTCACTTGTGCATAAAGTATCATGAAAGCTAGACCTATTGTCATAAGGATCAGTCTGAAATTGATAGTTACCGTAGTTTATTGAGATCAAAGCCTTTGAAAATCATTCACGTCCATGCTGATGAAACCTATCGAATTTCAGTACCGTCTATTTTGTATCTTACTTGTTTTTCACTCACTATATAAAGTAAAAAGTGAAAAGACTGTATACTACCTGGACTGTAATGACCGAAACTGTCTCATGATTGCGGTGTTAAAACTATAGGGAATTCGGGAACTATTGAGAAAAACAACACTGGCCGCTTACTTTGTTATTTAGGGTCCATAGACACTGTGATAAAATCTTAACTTACTAAGTATCTTGTAATTTGGTCCTGAAAATTGTTGGCTTTACGAAAACTCGCAGTATTGAATAAAGTCGTTATTACTATTTCGTTGTGAAAAAGCTAGTGGAGTCCGGACAAAGACATGACATTTGTTCATAAAAACATTTCAGGCGGATACAGCAAATTACGAAGTCGAATAAAATCAGCTACACCAGAGTTATTGTTTCATGAAATCTACGGATATACCCTAATTTATTTTCATGTGTAAGTAATTTAACCTGACTGGTACTTTAAAAAGTCATCTGGCGTTAACATAACCTTTAGCAAGCTGAAATATTCCACTTATTCTGATCAGTAAATAATAATCAAAGACAAGATAAATCATACAAATTATTTCTTCACTAATTGAGTTCACGCATAATGTAATACCCTACCTTATTATCGCTTTTGATAAGTGTTTTTGGAAAGGATTCTGTTGTTTTGCCACTTACCACATAAAAAAAAATCACTGATAAAATAATGATAATGGCAAGAATAATTTACCAATTTAGTGATAAATTTATTGCTGTCTCTCTGGATACATAAATCAGGTTTTGATTTTTTATTGCTGTTATTTTGACAAACCGAAGAGACGCTGCATTTTTTTGTGTTGATTATTTTGAATACGTCACTTACATTCACTTCATGTCTACTGTCGAGATGTTTGGGAATTACACTTGTGAAGACTTTATTCTTTTTCAGTGTTAGGTTCAGAAAAATCACTAACATAATTAACCACGGGATAAGTGTCGCATTGAAGGTTTCTTACCAGCCAGCAAGGCTGACGACGCTATTTGAAATGAACTGTTCTCTTAAACAAACAAAAATTAACAGGTCTTCTTTTCTCAGTACCTCCAACTGCATTTATCAATTTACATGTACGTGCCAAAGCACATACATTGGTATAACAGAGAAAAGAGTACATGTTGGCATTTTCGAACACATTACAAAGAACTTGAGACCGAGACACAATGGCTCTATAGAGTGCAATAGCTTATGAAATGTCAAGTAAATGCCGTTATTTGTTATTGTTTATTCCTAACACCGTACTACTGTTTATTCCCATAAATTATTGTTAGCCAAGAGTGTGAAAATAGATGGCACAAACCAAGATTTGTCTTCTCAAATTTCCCGAAGAATGCGACGTACAATGAATTCAGCTCAAAATACACTCATCCAGGATGGATCACCTTTACCAGCTTATGGCAGCTGTAAGCACTATCGCAAAAGCTATCGATGGCTGAGGTAAGTCTAACATGCATCCCGTCAATGTTTGCTAGTGTTAAGCGTTTTCAACAACCTAGATTTCTATGCAAACTTCGGGCTAAAAAAATTTCAATCGTCGACCTTTCTCCATTCTTAATTTGTTTTCAGATGGTACACTGTTGAACAAACAATGTAGGCATCAATCACCTTGAATTACTTGTAATTAAACATTTAGGAATCAGCTTGAAAAGTTAATTTGGTGAAAAACCTTTCGATCTCTCATACATCCAAAGTGTATCCGATGTGGCATTCATAGGATAACAATTAGCATCCGTATGTCTGAAATCAGAAACCTAAGCAGTATTGAAAAGAAGTTTAGTTAGCTAGACTTGATAACCAGCTTAACATTTGAAAAGTAGTACGCTATATATAGAAGACATGGCAGCTTACGTTTGAAACGAATGCTAGCAACATAAAAATTTACGCAACGTTCACAAGCTTTATTATTTTGTCTTGAGAGAATAAAGGTGTATACAGTCGGCAAAAAACATGGCCTTATTGACAACAGTATTCACTTGATTTTGTTTTACTTCTAAAAGGTTTCCTTGTTGTGGACGTCTGGAACCATGTGATGTCTGTCATGATAATTCTGCTGTTGATGGACACGAAATGGAACTGGCTACTCGTATGATTTGTGGGTTTTGTTCTAAAGAACAACCATTTTCTACTAACAAACCATGTGTAAGATGTGACAAGATGCTATCAGGAACTCGATCTTCACATTGGGAAGGTGGGAAAGGATGTCGTAATCAAGTAACTATGTCTCGAAAAGATTCAAGAAAATATTCTCATGTCAACAAGGTTATATCCAAGAAGAAAACCAAGCGAAGTAAATGATCAGTACATTTAAAACCATTTACAGCTCTTTACAAGATTCAGTATAAACATGTATTACTTCAAAATTCGCAACATATAACAGCAAAGTAGTTCTAAAAATGGAAATTATTCTTTCTAACCTATGGTTCTACAATTAGTCGAAACTATTGTTCAAATACATCTCAAGAAATTATAGAATACGGATTTAAGATTTGCCTTACATATAACTATTCTCTCGAATCACTAATATAAACTCATTTCTGTGGAACCTGATGGTAATTTTTTTAAAAGAATATTTTCGTCCACGTGTTTCAAATAGCAATTATTACCCACAGTAAGTTAACATTTCCGTGATATTCCAGTACATTTCTTTGTACATTAAACTTCAGAAAACAGAAACTAGTTTACGAGTTTGAAATATCACTTCCCTATGAACATTTATTTTATATTCATATTTTAAAAAAGATTATTGAATTATCAAACAGGTTAATTTTCCTGAATATTTTTTATTGTTTCAAACAACCAACTAACCATATTGTTTTATTTCTAGTTTCTTTATGTCTAAAAACATGAGTTTTCTTTACAAACTTCTTCCAATTCAATATCATGATAATCCTGGTGACAAAGATTTTATTTAATAGAGTATTCTGGTATTTACATAATTATTATGATAAAGCTCTTTTTTATCTCCGAAAATTTAATTTATATAAACAAGTTGTCTTTATAGGAATTCAATGATCTGATTATTTGATTTCTATAAATTTAGTATTATCTAGTAATATTTGAAACAATGCATCCAAATAAAAACTAAAAATATGTCAAGAATCTCCGCTTAACCAGTATATTCAAATGTAAAATACAAATGTACAATAATTTAAACATAAAGTCAATAAAAATGATTAATTTCTGCTTTAAGATTGTATATTAAAAGTAACCTAGGTAGTTTGATAGTAAGTTTTGATAAATTTCTACAAATTATTTAAAAGTTGTCTTTTTACTTAAAAAATATTTTTCGACTATGTTGTGGCAATTTTAAAAGAATGAATATAACATGATGCGTCATTTAATAGCTAAAAAAAAGTTTGCACATGTTTGCCAATCTGTTTCTATAGCATATATGAAATGTACAAGATATGGAGATGTGTAGAATGTTATTTATACGTTGCTTTTCAAAATCAATGGACTGTTTCCGCAAACGAGTGTGTATAAATTACGGAAAGCCGACGCATGATTGCTGGAAAGAGTAGTAGAAGAAGGTTCATTATTTTAATAATGATACTATTTGACTTTTCTTACTTTGATTAAATTCATAGTAAAAAAAGGAGGTTAGTGATGATTTAAGACGACTACAAATTACAAAATCTTTATTAACCATTTGTACACAAATATGCTTTGTGAAAAACACAAAGCACTCTTGGATATAAAATTAATTTAACAGTGTACACATGCGACAGTAAACCACTGCTTTCATTAGTGTTGTAATTTTTTTACAATCCTGTTATTTTCGTTAAACTTGAATGCTACTACTGATTCGTCTTACTCGGAACGGAACGAAGAATCAAGGATTCAGAGACTCGATAGGCTATACTGGTCCGTTGTCCCCGACTCAGCTAACTCGACCCAGAAGTATTGGTAAGATGTAGAAAGTGTATTCTACAGACAACCAGAAGATACCAGGTCCATCAAGCGTATTTATACAAAATATATATAATCGATATTGCCATGGAAGTTTTTAAACATTTGATCGATTAGTTCGTCAATCGACTATGTGCGTGGGCGGTAAGAAATGCCCAAGCATACATCTGCATACAAGCTCCACAAAGATAAAATTACAAAATGAGTTTTGGGGATCTAACGTCCCCAACAAATCCCTAAAAACTAACAGTCGTGCATATTTAAACAACGGGGATATATGTCGATAATATTTTACGTTAGAAAGATTTGTCAATAGACAAATGTGATATAAATTACTTAACAGCATATTAACTCAAGTTACGAGGACTTATTCAGATGCGATGCTCCGGGATGAAACGAAGATAATAATGACATTTCGGCAGTACTCAGGTGGATGTTATTTGCGAATTAATTATTAAAAGAAATTAATGCAAACTGCTTCGGAAAAAAGTGCAATTGTTAGCAATATAAGCGTATCTCAGAACCTTATTTTTATTTCAAATAATAATCTATTTTGAAGACACAGTACAGCGAAAACTTGAGAAGTTGATTTCATCTCTTGTTAAAATACACTGTGTTAATTTATATGATTTGGGAAGGAACGAACAAACAATTATTTAATGAATTTTGAAGCATGCTTTTGTACAGTTACCTAAATGAACATGAATTTCTTCATAAGAAATGAGTTAATGTAATTTTTTATTTACACGGATTGAGAACTTTAGATGAATATTTGTGATTTAGTTAAATAAAACTTGAAATTTTTCTATATGATGTCATCCTTTTAAAGCATTCTTGGCTGATGCATGGGAAAGCAGTAAAACAAATGAGTGTTACATTAACACGTTGGTGTACGATGTCATGAATATACTTATAATTTCAGGAATACTGTCTACATTTGTTAATATAATTCGACAAGACATAAATAGATTAGGTATACGGAAAGCATGGCTTCGTTAGTGAAACATACATGCATAAAGTTGACTAATTTCAATGGCGAAAAGGTGTTATTTGACGATCCAGGTAATGCATAAAATATCTGGTTTATAAATGCTGTTTTTGCCAAAAGGGGATATTTAAAATCATATTTGTATCACAAAATCAATTCGCTTAATTAACAGCAAAAAAGACTGATAGATTAACCTTCTAGTGGTATCTCTTCAAATTCCAGTATTATTATTCATAAAAATAGAAAAGCAAAAAACCGATAACACTATTTGCTATGAAATGTTTAAGTAGTAACCAAGTTAAAAATGTAACTAACATGAGAACACATTTCCTCATCAAATGATCACAGACTTACATCGTTTTTGTGAATAGATGATCCACAAGCAAATTAGGTAGATTTGCTTTAAAAGTGTTTAAAAGTTCGAGTTCTGTTTGGACAGATTCAAGCTCACTCCAAAGGTTTGTAAATAATAATGCTTGTTTCGCGCTGCCGTTGAATACACACATTTGAGGCCATGCCGTTAACGCTAATAAACGGGAAAATGCTCCTGGAGTGCTAGGACAGTTGCCTTCGGTTTATAAAAGTGATGAAAAACATTAGATATATCTGAGAAGACGAACGTTTACTTGAATCAGCAAAACCATAAGAATTGTTACTAGTCCTAGAAACTGGGACTCTGTTTTATTAAAGTTGAGCAAATAAGGCTACTGAACTTTCCTTGTCTGGTCATGCTCTGATAAGTTTCTTGAGTACTATTAGTGTTTTAATCACATAGTTTACATTCATCCACTTTGTATACCTCTCAGCATTCAGAGTATCATCGTTAATCCGGGGTAAGTGGGTCTTTGGTTTTCGAAAAATTTTATTTGGACGCTTACTATTTTACATTATATGTCATGATAATTGACGGAATATCAGCAATTAGAATACGTATCTGTCTATATTGGACTTATGAGACTACAATTTGGACGTTAGAAAATATAACGTAATGTATTATAAGTGGATTTACTGTATCCGTTTTATATTGAAATATTGCGATCAACTGATCTTATTTACTGCTCAGTATTAAAACAGGATGGAACAGTTCATTATTAAATCGTCAGTTGCTGCGGAAATTAGTATAGTATTTCGGTTCCGCACTAGCACATATATTAATGGAAAGTAAGTTTCAATTACAGTATATGAATAGACTATGTTTAGGCTATAAAAAGAGGTCAAGTAGTAGCAGCGTTTGTACTTGTGAGATCGCAGCTGGCTACAAATTTATAAGGTTAAATATGATTTCCCTATAGATCCTATATTCCTCCTAAATAGGAGCTATAAAAGCTTAGGGTTGCCAAATGTGTTTTCACAATTCCTGCTCTACAACTGTATTATCGATTACATGTATAAATTACACAGTCATTACAAACCTGATAATACAAGTTTCTAGGGGACGCTTGCCAATTTTTTCTTACTTTAAATAGAATCATAGGTATATGAAACGCAATTCGGATGTGAAAGCAGTGATTTTCTTACCTATAGTCAGAAACGCTTCATATGGACTTGGAGGAGCAACTAGTTTAACTGGGTGTTTTGAAGCAAACCAGGCACTTATGGGATCATTATGAGTGAGAAGATCATTAAGGACATTCGTTGTTGACAAGTCGCTTGAATCAGGGTTCACCTTTGTCATCAGTAATTCCAACAGTTTTAAAATGAGGCTGAATCCTGAAAAAACGTACTGAATCCAATTAATTTCATCTTGACTGACTTTCTGTACATCTACATACAAATTAGTAATCAAAAGATAACTAGATATTAGAATTCGTGCGAAAATCAATAAGCATTCGTTGACAGAGTAATAACAAGGTTTGCAGAATAAGATGGGTTCATTCTGCTTCACAGTTTCTCACCAACTGCATACAGCATAGAACTACAATTACTGATATGAATATAATTATTAACGAATGTTTAGCATTCTTTAGTTTGTAAAGTTCAGACAAGTGTTCAAAACATAACCAAGATTGTAATAATAACAACAGGGATACAAAGTGTGTGAATAAGCATAGTTAAGGCCGTCGTGTGTTTATATGTTGGGAAGTATAATAGTTAAGGGGTTATGTAATGGTAATAAAACTAGTAATTGATTGGGTGATCGCTGAACATGATAAAATAAACAAATGTGGGAACAGCCATCAGATTATGTAAGAGATGAATATTAGAAGACGAAAAAATAATAAGGTGGGGTACATGATTGAAAAAAATGAAGCTGACGAAAGCTACTAGACAAATATCCAATCACCATGGCAGGGAAAGGCTAATCAAGCTTTCCTTCTGTATACATAGGTCAGGTCGGGGACATTTGATAGCGATCGCCTCTGCAAAACGGAATAAAATATGTTTCCCATCTGTTGACTATTTTGAAAGTGTCTTTTACATTCACGTCGTTTCCACTATCGTGATGTCTGGCAACTGCATTTGTAAAGAGTAATTCCTTTCAGTCATAGGTCCCTAGGAATACGTTCAGAAAAACTTGTAGAGAGCCTTCCCTTTGTCCTTCGTAAGTACATGTAGACCATGGGACCACTACTAGGGCCTGTCTTGGCCGATATATTCATGACTAGACTAGAACAAACGAGACTGAAACAGTGAATCCATAAACAGCATACTACACGAGATATGTCAGCGATACGTTCATTATTTGTGATAACATGGACCACCGTTCTCGGTTACTTAGTCACTCCGAAAATAACACAACGAAAGAGATAACCAATTCAGTTTTTTAGATCTTAGTGTAAAACGGAAAAATGATAGACATCTTGAGAAAAGCATATATAGGAAGTAAACATGGATAGGACAGTATTGGGACAGCTTTTATCTTATCAGTAACAAAAAGTGTTTAGTCAGAACGAGTTTCTATCGATATATCTCGGTGGATAACCATTTTTGATGAGGGTCTGTCGAAGATAAAATAGTTCCCCATCTATTGTGTCATTGGAACAAATTCGCCTGATCCTTGAGGATAAAGAATGAATTAGGTTCCTTTTCTACTTACTGGAACCCAACTGTGGAAGTTCGTGTATTGTCCATTCCAAGTGGGTTTTCTACGTATCGATCTCTGTAATAAACCGTCCGGTATTCTTCTTAAATGGTACCTAGACCACATGACAAAGCACTGACAGCAGAGAAAAAAACTCTAACTATGAATATGGAATTGAAGGGAGATACGGCTGCTGAAATCCTAAATAAACGGATTTCGAAATCATTGAATAAAACATTCCACGCAGCCAAGCTTCGAATCATCTTCTCTAGCCGACCTACCATTCTGGGTTGTGTTAAGGACAAACTTTCGCTTTGGGCCACTTCAATGTGTATCTGTAAATTTACTTGCTCATGTGGGGCATGTTACATAGGCCGAACAAAGCGATCATTATCCAAACGCATCTCGGAACATTATCCGGCCTGGCTCTTGAAAGGGGAACGAAAAACAAACACGAGTTCGATACAGAAGCACTTAATCAACTGTGGACATATCGCTCCAAAAGACTCTTCCTTTAAGATAGTTTACAGAGTCAAAGGAACTGGATCGAAGGGGGTTCGAATCAAAATTTTATGCACCGCAGAGGCATCGGCAATCCACAAACTAAAGCCTGAACTTTGCGTGCAGAAACGATTTGTCCAACCTCTCATCCTTCCCTGGCCCTAATTCCCTCAACGGGTATGTTTCTAGGTGTTTTTGTTTTGTTTCCTGCACTTTTATTATTATCTATATTTTTAAATTACTATTTTGCACTTTAAACTCTAATCATTTATTATTATTACCTTGTACAAGTTTTCTTGATTATCATTCAGTTTATTATTATGATCTTTGTTGTTTTGTCGTTTTTCTTCATATCTGTCAATTGGACTATTATCTGACCCATAAATTTTGTTCTTCCTTACCCTTTGATTAGTACGTTAACCTCATTTGTTATTTATTGTCGAATCCATTTTTTGTGATGCAATCCTTTCTATCCTTCTATAGACATACATTTTCCATATAACTATATATATGAATGTAAAGCTTAAGTAAATGATTTCGTCGAAAAGAAAATTTTCTTCGCCGAATTCTCTTTTCTTATTTAATGACACTACGGGTTATTTTAATTATCCAAAAAATGGGTACCCGAGGTAGTTTATTACATCAAGACCTGAAAAACTGGATTGGTTATCTCTTGACATTTTTCTCTTGAAGTGGGAAAATTTATATGATATCACTACATTAAAAAAAAACTCATATACGGTTATCAGACTAATGATTATAATAAAACATGTGTTTCATATTGTTGGTTGATGAATCATGCGTTCTGAACTTTAATTTATAAGTTTCTTACAAAAAGAATGTCACTGAAATATATTTTTGCTGTGGCAAGCAGATTCTATACGTCCCCATTGAGGTGTGGAATAAAGTACCTAAATACACTCTTGTGTGTATTTGGCAATTGTTTGGTGGTAAGGACAGTTAATCTCTTTTGCTGTAATGGTTATTCAACTTTGGTGAAATGTGTTTACTCGTTTCATATCGCTACAATACATAACTTTTTACTCCTTACTAAAGCTCCGCGTGTCGCATAATTGCTGTATTATTTTGACAACCAGTTTATTTTTTAAACATTCATTTGAACAATTTGGTATTATTAACTGGAGTGACCAGGGTATAGCAATTTCAGGTCGCTTTTTGTCTAAGAGAAATAAAGAAACCTAACTTTTATTATTGTTAGTTTTATACAGAATTCCTGTGGTATTAGCCGATATTTTTATCGACGATGTGAGTGTAACCATTCACTTTCGAATGATATTGAAATTAATGGTGACCCTGGAAAACTGAGTGTAAATCCATCAGTCCGTGAAGTGATTTCGAACGAGCAGAGTCACTGACTGCTGAATTTTATATTCGCAAAGGTTTGTAAATACTATATATATATATATATATATATATATATATATATATATATATATATATAACAATGTAACTTTTTGGAAAGGTTAACTGGAACACAACTAGTGAGGGATCTAGCTTACATTAAATCAACTGGGACAGAGAAGTAAATTCAAAAACATTCATCTAACGGTTTACATCTTGTTAAAATTAATTTAATTCACGTAAAAGTCGCTTTACATTAGATGAAGAAAATTGTAAAGGGTGACGGGCAGAAGCGTTGTGTATCTAATCACGAGCATTAAGATGAACTTCGTTGAAATTGATGTAAATAAGTCGGCTTACAATTTCATGTAGTAGTACAATGAAACGTATGGAGTATATGAAAGGGACAGAATATATAACAGTAAAAAAATCATCCGGTTCTCCGGAAAAAGTAAAAACGGTAAACCAGAGAAAATAATCCTTTTAAAGTTCATTTGCATTATTACCCTTACGTCTTTTTGAACCGGTGACTAAAACCATTTTGAGTTTTCTGACACGACTTAGCAACTTTATGAAATGCTGTTAAATAACTATTCTAGCCAAATTGCAGATAATATTACGTTTTCGGGGTCGGTGTGCATAAGATGATTATTTTATCAACAACCACAGTTGCATTAACCTCAGTGAGCTTGCAAGTTCTGATTCACTTGTGTTAAACTTGTAAAGCTTAATTGTACGCGTATTGGCCAAACGAACATTACTCAGTTGTACCGTAAGGAAAAGAACAGTCTATCGAACTGATCACGAAAAGTTTTATAAAGTATACGAAATTAAAATTAAGTAGTTTTACATCTTTTACGAAAGTGATACAACCACATCTTCAAAATTTAATAAAATAAAATTTTAACAGCTGAAATTAATCTATTTAGTTGTGATAAATAATACTCACCAATGAAACTCACAAGACTAGTGAATTTTTCGAACAAAGCGATGGCAAGGTCACACTTTTGAATAGCAAAGCACATACTAGAAAACAGTTTGGATTCCATGGGGATCTGAGGAAAATATTAAAAAGCAAGGTGTAGAACATTGACGTTCCGAAAATTCATTAATACAACACTGTCGAAATCATAAATATAAATTAAAATTGCAATAACTGTGGCCAATTACATAATTTACGTTGGGTTTTCACGTAGAAGCTGAAAAATATAACTGCACATTTATTGCCGGTAAACCATTACACTTTATTATGACGAAAATGATATAAACTTTAAGTGATAAACCCAAGAATTTAAGAATTAAAGTTCTCTCAAAACTTTCAGTTTGTATTGTAAAAAAAGTGGTGCAGGTGTCCTTAAGCCTACTATATGTTAAAAAATTGGAGTATCCTTAGACCAATCGGAACATTTTTTGCCAAAACTTACAATCTAAATTGTTATTCCAGCGACTAAGAATAAAATAACAACTCACCAAATATATTTTGATTCATTCTGATTTAAGGGCTATTAATACTACTCATTTGTCCAAATTAAAGTGAAGTGGGATACGGACATGAGAACTTACGGTAGGAAGATAAGTTCTAAATCACTAAACCATCACTACACACTAAATGTTGTTAGCTTCTATGTTATGGCACATATCAATCCATAATCAGTAAAAAATATACAGCTGCACAGGGTATATAAGTTCATTTGAGAAATCCATGTTTTTCCACCACTCAAAGCTTACACTGTTACCAATTTTCTTTTAAAATTATTTTTCCAATACGTATATCCATCAAATAGGTGGAAAAGACACTGTCTCATTTAATTAGGTAGACAATTTTCTAAAACCGGATTAGATATGCCTAAGGGTGATCAACCTGTTTTTTTCAAAATCAGGTACATCTTGTGTATATTAATTACCAGATTGTTGAGATTAAACCACGAGTGTGAGTAAACAAAACAGACCTTGAACATCAAAGCCCAATGTTAATTAAACTTTCTATCAAGCCGGGTTCGGCACAGAAATCGGTTTAAATTGCGACCAAATGCTTGGGTAGCTAAAGCATGAGACACCTATCTACATACCTTTGAGAAACAAACTACTCGGCAGACAACTGATTTGAAAAAATTAGCTGAAAAATAATTGATCAAATAACGGGTAGATCTAACTTAAATATACGGGCACTTATAGAGGTAAATTTCATGAGAATCATAATACCAGCAGACACAGTACATTTACGCGTAAATTTGTTAGAACACTGACCTGACAGCACAGTAACTTGGATAGTCAATTAAAAGTTGTCAGCTAGATAATCATATGATTAATTTAAGTTTATGCTGTAGCGATGACAGTGATAATCAGTAAGTTTATAAACTAAAAATCTATTCTGGGAGGTATTAAACGCAATTACACTACATAAATGTGATGCACTAATATTGCGCATGCATAACGTTAGATATTCTGAAAGTTATTAAAACTCGAAATGTTAAAGCTTTGCTGAAATAGTTGCAAACATTTTTGCTTTACAAAGATTACTTCTATACTCTTTAAAGTATTCAAATCCCTCAAGGCAAGTGGGAACCTGAAAAGAGGAATCATAAGGAGTTAAATTAGAATAACCATCATGTCACGAGGAGCACCCTGGACATTTCCCACAATTCTATTTAATTTAATGTTATGTAGGTTATAAAAAATGATAGGCATGTCCAACTGGGATACTCACGTTTTTAAAAAACTGAACTATAATACTTCTGTCTTCCGATCTTAATAATTGCCTGGTACGTGAGATCGAGAGCCACAAGCACGAAACACTTTTATTATATTTTTCGATTAAAGCAGCCTGCTGATGGGTTTGATATTGGTAGCAGTCACATGTAGAAGCTGGATGGCATAATAAATTTCTGTTACAGTTAGGTTTATATAAGAACCCACATATCTTCGAGAAAATTCACTTCTGTGTGATTTTCCTGTTTAGTACTGGTTTCATTGATCTTTTTTATGGTTTTGTCACTCATATTTTTGTTGTCCATCGTTGGTGGAAATGATGCTACTGGCTGTCCTAATGTAAACAACTTTTTACTAAATGCTGAAGGTGAGACTACGTATCACGTGATTACCGCTTTGGTATGTGCAAATCCGTTTTATAGGGAGCTTTATAGTGGGCAGGAATATATTTCCGCTGCTTTGTTATAGGTCCGCTGCAATCAGGTCTCGACTTCTTTATACAAGTGTTTCCATGACACATTTTCAGGACACTCTTGCTAGGCCTATCTACGGAGATAGGCTCCTTTTTTGTCCTCTGTGGAGAAAGAGTTAAGTGTGCTTTTTGAAGAGCTTCTTCTACTTCCCTTATAAGCGCGCTATCAGATTCGACATCATAGGTATTGACAGTTTCTTTGTTATCAACTTGAACCGCAATTTTAGCACATGTGCATTTATTTCCCCTGAAGTTAAATAAAAAAGATTAAGTAAGATACTTATTTGAAAAACGCCTAGAAAGATTGTATACGGTGTTAAAAGATTGTTCGAAACAGTTAAGTTTCCATTCAAGGAGAGAAGCAATATCCATACAGCTGGACCAACTGTTTGAAAGTAAGAATAATAGGGTGTTTTAGACTCCACGTATATAACCTTGGTGTAGGGAGAAAACCATATTCGTTAACAACTACAAGCAAATGGTTATGATTATGACAACATAGGATGACCTTGAAGAGTCAAATCTTCCTCTGTTATACTAACGCAAATGAAAGTGGTGATTTCAAACTTGACTTTTGTCAAGTAAAACAACGCCATATTTATTCACCGAGACCTGTATATATGTAGTACTTTTGCGTTTTTTGCCACAAAAGAATTTGATTTTCGTCATATTTCCTCTAGAAATGGAGACGGAGGACAAATTTTTCAGTAGAATTAATCAAATGGTTCAAATGGTTGTGGACTGAATAAAAGAAGCTTTCGCTTAACAGGCTTCCGTATCTAGTAGTAGGGGATCACCAAATCCTCTAGGCAAGAATCTAGGCATGTTAACAATAAAAGAGGTAAAGGAACTAGTAAATCATAATGTGATACTACCCTTAGTCCTTAAGGATAGATCAAGTTGCCTCTTGAAGGACTCCTAAGGAGTCGCTTAGACTAGCTCGGCCGGCAGCGAATTCCAGCATTTGACAACTCTTAAGAAGTAGAAGTCGTGTCTACAGTCCGTTCTGCTATATTGTGTCTCCACTTTTTGGGTGTTACCTCTTAGTTTAGTGTTTGAACTAAGCTTAAGTGGGTGTTTGAGAGGATGTCGAGAAGTGTTAAGGATACTGTAAGCCATTAGGTCACCTCTAATGGGCAAAGGTTAAGTGAATGGTGGCGCTCTTCGTAAGGTTTAAATTTGAGTCCTTGAACTGATTTCGTGGCCCGCCGTTGGATACGCTCCAGGGTGTCCTTATCCTTTTGGAGTGAGGGGGGAAATACTGTGTTTCCGTACTCTAAATGAGGACGGATAAAACTATTGAAGATTATATGGAAAGTTCTTCTGTCAAACTGGCTAAAAATGCGCTTCGAACATTAGCACCTAATGTACACCCTTAGTTTTTACAGAGATGAATTGAACGTGAATTCCTCTTTGGAAAGATCAGTGTAGCGGTAAATAAATCCACAAAATAAATAGCTCTGTAAGTTTTCGACATTGAATGCTGACCACATTAGTTTTAATGGACTCACCTAGCTGAAGGCGCTCGGTCATGCATCCGCACCAGATCACGAATGGGAACAGCTGGGTTGATATTTTATAAGATATGAAAGTAGGTGGTTTTAGTAAGAATCGTGTTCTCACTATCGCAGTTGGCACGCTTTATGAAGGTTGAGTTGAGGCGAGCAGCTGATGGTCGAGAATGAATCCATGTGAAGTTGGAGGCTTCTAGAGACTGCAACCTTATATCCCTGTGAAACATCCGAGGCTTTGATGATGGTGCAGGATGAAGTCACTCGTTCCATGCTCTTTTCAGTGGCATATATCAAGGGGGCGGAAACATGAAGCACGAAAAGAAAGGATGAGAAGCGGAGCAGACAATGTTCATGAAAGAATAGTTAACTTATGACTACTCAGTTTAATTCTCTCTCTAATTAAGGTATTTAATGGGCAAGAGCATTCTAACATGTTAAAGGAAATAAGCGTAAACAAGGTATGGGTGGATAAACAACTGGCAAATGGATTTGGTTTAGAAAGAAGCTGAAAGTATGGGATTATGTGTAGTCATACAATATAGTGCTGAAAATAGTATTCTGATACACAAATAACTGTCCCTCATCTTTTGTCGGGGCTGTTCGAGCCCTTTTTTGTAGATTTCATAGAGTCCTGAGCAGGCTTCGTTCTTAGCAGATTGTCTAGTTTGCTTGTAATAGGATTACTCGGTAGGAAGTGAAACCGATTCAGCGTTCTAAACGTGTTTTAGTGAGGGTATTTCGCGTAATAAGTCGGCATCAATACCATTGGTTCGTGACATTCCACTGGATCAAATGGAGTTCTGGCCTACAGACATGGATGAATTGAAGTTATTTCCTCACCATCATGTTTGCTGGTCAGTAACGCCACCCTCCCTCCTTTTGTGATGTTAGACTCTCTTACGTTTGTGGTAAGTATGAATATTGCCTTAATCAAAGCCCATAATTGGAATACATTGACTCTACTAGTTCCACGTCACAAGTAAATCAGATAATTAAAGCAATTGTATTATCAGTTAGACATCCATTTAGTATGTCACACTGCTATGAAGATAAATAATGGTAAAAGTAAAAAAAGGTTGAATTATATGTGGTTTAAAGATGGTAAGACTAATGGCAAATCATAGGATATGAGAGATTATAAAATTGTAAAATATTGAAGGTAATAAAAATAAGACATTGAGCAACTCACAAGAATTTAGAAATATTCATCTATATGTAAATGAAGTTACATGGACGCTCAATATTACTTACATAGACTTTATCAAGTAGAACAGATAAGCTTTTTTATTTAAATTGAACACATTTACTACGTAATGCCTTATAGTATGGTCTATCTTTGTGGAGACGTTATTTTTTCCGAAAATGGCTTCAATCACGTTAAATTATTGCACTTGACTTTAACAAGGAAGGTATAAGGATTTTAGCATGTGACAGGCAAAATGGGCGTGTCAGTGGACAGACTGTAGCAGGCTGACTTTTTTAAAACTCCACTAATCAATCATCTCTGTCACTTCCATCAGAATGTCTTTCGGAGGTAAGTCCTTACAGCTTAGTAATCAAGCTTATCGAGATGGTGGCGAAGATTCGTAGCTCAAGTGGATGATGTTCTCTAAGCTGGAGAACAAAACTCCACCAAAATCAAGCTAGTTACCCATTTCAAGCCCCTAGAATCAGCACCCAATTTTTAATCATCATTTAGAGAGAAGGAATAAAGGACAGTACGGTCATCCAGCATTGATGGGTGGGAGAAATTCATTTTGGGAGCTTTCTAGAATACAGAGCTTGACCAGTTCAAATGCACTTATCAATGCTTCTGCAACGATAGACCGAATCCAACATGGTGAATTTGTCATGATGTGATGGCCCAGTTTGTATGAACTTACATCATTGTCAATACTCACTCGTCCTATCGTGGTCAGTAATGCATGTAATGATCTTTAAGAAACACGTATGAGCTGGAAGTGGAGCAATATATTTGATGTGAAGACCGAAAGTTCGCATGGAGTAACCATGGCTGTAAGGCCGAGCCATGCCATCTTGACGAAGTATTCCTGTGTTGACGTTTTTGACCCTCTACAAATATAACTCTTTCGATTATTGTGTGTTCATCCTCAGAGATTATATGGCTAGAAATCGGTGTTAATAAAACCTCCCTGGTAGCCCTAATAAGTGAACTGGTCAGGAGAGCCGAGTTTATAGGCGTCCTTCAAAAAGCGTTTACCAGACAATAGATACGGAATAACTGCGCGCTGCGCAAGACGTCTCAGTGAACTTTTCCGCAAGACAAAATTTCAGGGGCTCTGTGACAGTTATAAACATAAAGAACAACCTCACTACCTGCTGTGTTAAATTTGTTGGAATTCTTAAGAAGAGCGTTTGATGTTTGTGACATCTTTGGCAAGCCAAGGTTTGTAGATGGTCACAACTGATTGATCATTGGGTGGTGATCAATGTCATATGTGTCATGTCACTTTTTGTGCAGAACGAGTGCTATCGGCCAAGTTGCATTTTGGACATTAGTCTAAGTGCCTCGACATTGTGTGCACTATGTTGAGATAAGATGGTGATTGGAAGTGAATAAATCTTGGCCCCACAGTAGGTCACTCGCGGCCCGGATAGACTGGTGGTAGCGTCTCTGGCTATGAAGCTGGGCGACACAGGATCGAATACGTCATGGAGGACCGGTTCTCTCAAGATTACAGGTACATCTAGCTGACGAGTGCCAAACAGAACGAAACCCGGGTCCACAGTTTCCTGTTGATTACCCCCAACCACCGTTTGTAGATGGTCTTTAAACATGGAAGTCTGCTGCGCAAAAGTTCCTTGAGTCCAGTGATTTGCTATAGTAACCCTCTGACGCCACTATATAGACAGTCAAAAAGTGCGGCACAATTTCAGAGCACTACTTGGAAATGGTGAGTCACGTTGAAAGTGACATTTTCATGTAGCTTAATTTTTCTTAGATGAGCTGATTTACCTATGTCTTTCAGAGCAATGTTTGTTTGTATTGTCTGTTATTACACAAACATTTGGAGTAATTTAATAGAGTTCTAAGTCCAGACTTCTCTACTTAATCGTTCAGTTGTCAGTTGCAAGCTGATTAAGGAACCTCACAGTAGACTTATTATTATTATTCACAAACATTTTACGGGTACATAAGTGTTGTGAAGAAACCGTTTCGGGTTTCTTTAAAAATGCAAAGATAATAAGTTTCAATAATGTTATCATTATATTTGCCATATTTGAAAAAAGACATTAATAATAATAAACCGTGTTTTGTGTAATTGAGAAGAATATTGAGTTGAGCTTAAAGAAGGAAAGGAAGAAAATAAGGGAATAGAAATAAAGGAGATGTGAAATATGCAAATAATTTGATAGGCACGTTTATGAACACAGAACAAGAATAAACGACCATCCATGTATCGTCAAATTAGTAGCGAAAATAAAATAGACAATAACTAAGAAAAAATAACTTATTATTACAGTAAGATATGACGCCAGAATAAACGTTTGTGCAGTCATAGTTTGGAGTGATCAAGTGAAAAGGATAACGAAATATCAACATGTACGAAATATATATGCATAGTGAAGATAAAACGAGTCTGAGAAGTTAAGTGTAATACAAGTTATTGTCTTAGTTACAAATGTCGTAGTCTTAAGGTTAATATTTATTTAGAAGGGAAAAAGAGAGAGAAGAGAAGTGGACACCTAGTGAAAGGGTTCAACCATAATAATAATTTTGTCATAAATACCGACCTCTGAAGTAAACCGACAATTTAGAAAAATAAAATAAATCCTTTAGTGCACTCGGATAAATACATGTAGACTTATGAAATAGTATGCAGAGTGAAACCGGATATAAATATAAACATTTGTGCACTAATAATTAAGAATGATGTCATGAAAGTCACGGTTAATTGCGAAGGATAATCAAATATAAATTTCTGTGTTATATTTATGTGATGTTAAAATGAATCTGAGAAGTTAATCTATTTTAGTGCACCTTGAGATAATTTG